GATTGAGAGGGGGCGGAATAGGTGGAAGAAAAGCGGCCATTGCCGCGGGAGTCGTCGGCGCATCTTCCTCCTGGAAGTGGTGTTGGACGAACGAGGGATAGAGGAAGGCCCCCGACACATGAGACAGGACACGTGGCGCCAGAACCGCCACTGCTCGCACCACCCGCTTGCGCACCGATCGGGGCCCTAGACCCGTCATCACCACATGAGTCTCGGTGTAAGGCCGCCACTCCCGCTTCTGCGCCGCGAAGACAAGGAAGTGGTACATCGCATTGGGACGCTGCCCGGTCTCGTAGATGAGCGTCCCAGCCAATCGCGCCTCAATACACCCTTGAAAAGGGGGTGTCAGATATGGCTCCCACGCTGGATCAGGGCGCGGCGACCCCGCAATGGCCTCGAGCCTGATGGTGGCGGGCTCCACCATGAAGTCCACCTCTGTCGGATGGACCGTCCGGCTCGGAGGAACTACTAATGTCAATGACCGGGGCACCCCGGGGTGGCTGGCGGGAACGGAGAGGTCCCGCGAGGACGGGGGGTCCGGATATGGGATCCAGAAATCCCATTCGGCTTCCTCCTGTGGCTGCTGCTGCTGATGATGGCCCGACTCCATCAAGATTAAGATCGGGCACACGCGGAAAGGGCGGCGATGGCACGACAATCTCCTTAACGAGCATCGCCGCACTCCCAGGTACGGGGTCAGGATTCCACGTACGCGCGGGCTGAATCACCTCCTCGCCGCCGCCGATCCTGCTGCCTTGCGCTCCTAGCGACGGGTGGCGTCTCTTCCTCTTCGGCGTCTTCTTGGGGGCCTTCGGTGGCGCCGGTCGAGGATACGACGAGGGGGGCCGCAACGGCCTTTCCTCCGGGAAGTCCTCCAACCTCTCCGCGCGCTGCGCAATGTAATTCGGGATGACGACCGCGTTGTACGTTCTCCGCGGGGCCGTTTCCGTCCGCAAGCGTGGTTGGATCTCCTCCTCCTCGCTCGCGATCACTTGCGCAATAGAGAGGAGCTCAAGATGTATGAGCTCCAACAATCCCGGATCGATCGTCTGGAGCTGGGCGAATGGGTACAGCGCCACCGTCTGTTCCTTCTCCGCTGGCTTGGGCCGCGTGATGACGTAGTAGACGACGAAGTGCTCCCCGATGCAGTGGTCTTCGTGATCCACGAAGAACCGAAACATCCCCAGCGCCACCGACTTGTACAGCGCACGGTGCAACTCCCACGCGTCTTCGTCGGCGAAGGGCAGCGGCTCCACGTCAGTTAGCTCCACCAAATACTGCGAGAACTCGCGCATGGGATAAGGGCCCTCCGTGAGATGATAAAGGAGGGTGGTGTAAGAGAAGAAGGGAGGCATTTAGTACGGGACAGGGGGAATGGCTTGGAAATTGAGAGGGGCAGCGGGAGGAAGAAGCGCGGGGAGCTGTGGCACCAACGCAATTGGTTCGTCCTCTGCCCTGCCCAGCAGCACTTCGTGGGCCGTGAATCGGTGTCCCCCTCGTCCTTGCAATCTGGCCACTAATCTGGCCGCTTCCACCGCGTATTCGCGCACAAAGCTTTGCGCCGGCTCCCGATTCGACTGCGGTAGGATCGTCAAGTCTCCGATAAAGGTGGAGACGCTGTGCACGAAGTTGGGTGCCACCTGGAGCGCGCGGAACTCAATGAAGACTCGAGTCGTCTCCCGACCAGGCAATTGCGTCACGTCCACGTACACCCCCGCATACGTCAGCCGATCGCAAAGCAACGAGTACGCCGCCAAATCAGCAACCCCGGGCGCTGGCACGTTCACCTGCTGAATGTCGTACCGCAACTGCCTTTCCTCATTGAACTGATGCCGCAACAAGCGATCTGCAAGCGGCGTCTGGAAATGCTCGAGGGGCTCATGCTCCGACTGGCGATGGTTCATCCTGCTCCCTGAAACTCTCAGCACCAATGGACGAGGCAGATCGGGAAGAGGAGGAGGATGAAGAAGGAGAGGGTGATCTTGCAGGAGCGGGGGTCCGCAGGGGACCTAGCGATGGCTGGAAGGGCTGAAGCGCGGCAGCGTGCCGTGTCAGCGGTCGGGCCTGGGAATTGTGACGGGGAATCAGCTTCACGGAGTGTTGTCCCTGTGCGCCAACTTCCGTGACCTCGTAAATGCCTGTGTGGCACGGGTGGATTTTGGAGGAGCCCGCAGATTTCCGTACCTGCACCAAGTCCCCAACTTTATACCGGGGCAGTGGTCCCGCCGACGCGTGTCGATTCTCGTAGTCACGGATCTGCCGTTGATGTGTCCGATCTACGGCCTGCTGTCGACGGCGAGCTAACGGGGGATAGGCCCTAGCCATTAAGTCCATGTAGTGGCGGGCCTTATCTCGGTTCTGGGCCCGTGTTGCTCTAACTTCCGTACCTACTAAGGGGGACAATTGCACCCGAGGGACACTATTGGTTCTCAGTTGAAAGGG